ACGAGACGTGAGTATAAGCCAGGCTTATCAGTGGCCTCGGATACAGTAAAGGCATAGAAGAGCCGCAATCAATATTAATTGACTCTGGAGCGTCAGGCAACTATGCTCTACGCCGGTCCCTGAGGGATGTCAGCAATATGCTGAGGCGCTGAAAGCGCACAAGGGTGATGTTATCACTGTTCACTCAGCGACAGGTACTCGTGTCACCGTACCTAAAGTTACGTTGAACTTCGGTGTGAAATTCTTTGAATTCGACAGTATCGAACGTTGTCTTGTCCTGGATTTGGAATCGAGATATGATCTCATACTTGGCACGGCCTGGCTTGAAGCTCATGAGCCAGGGGTTGATTGGAGGTCGAAGGGCTTAGGCTCAACGCGCAACGTTCCTAGTGAAGCTTTGGAGAGTCATGAACCTACCTTTGCTAGACAACAAAAGAGCTATTGGCGCGCGCCATTGACGGAGTCTGTAAGTGTGCTTGACATTGGAGTGTCTGAGCTAGTTAACTCTAATGTCATTGACCATAGTCAAACAGTACGCATTCCGTTAAGTGACACTAGTAATGACAGTGTATCACTGAATGCTGGAAGAATTCGTGGCATAAGACCGATTCATCCTGGGTGTGATCCCTGTGATGCGAGTGTAGTGGCACGTAAAAATCCACAGCGTGAGGTAGGCCGTGAAGGCACCACAATATATGTCGGTAATGACATTGGCTCTCAGAGAGGGCAGGTCGAGGTTGAAGATAATCTTCACCTCGTGGAACCGAATGTTTTAACACGTTAGAGTGTTCATTTTCTGTACAGAGACGACAGCGACGCCAGATGGCTGCTGTGGAAAGAAAGGCTTTTTTCATGACGCCGAAAGGCACTAGTGAGCAGTTGTACACGTTAGTCAATGGGGTGTCAATCGCGATTGATGGAGAAGTTGGCCTCGAGGCCCTCCCATCGATAAATGCCTTGCTAGAGCTAGACGAAATGTCTCAAGACGGAATTCATCAAGCCATAAAGGCTGGTGCTTTGTCCGATATGGTGGTCCTTAGACCTGAGCTTGAGTTGAACTCGTTTACCTCTTGTAGATGCGACAGTCCTCAAGGACAAAAGTTGCACGTAAAGCTTGCAGTGGATCTGCTATTTTGAAATATCCTTCGGATCCCTTCTATCCTTTGGTAAAGGATTTTCAGGACGTGGTGTGTCATGATCCATTATCCACTCTACCTCTCGACAGAGCTGTGCGTCATGAAATTGACCTGGTCCCTGATACCAAATATTGTGCTACACGTCGATGTCCATTGCGTAAGGAACAGTGTGAGGTCATTTAAGAGTTCTTTCGTGCAAAGCACGCGGCAGGCATGGTGCGGGAGAGCAGATCTCCACACTCGACACCGACATTTTGTGTCAGAAAGCCCAATGGTAAGTTACGTATTGTCCACGCTTACAATAAGCTCACTGCGGCCACTAGACCTGTGCATACACCTATTCCCATAAAGATGTTCTTCAGAACGCTATGGTAGGTTGCACCACGTTTAGCGCACTCGACTTAGTCGACGGCTATCACAAACTGCTCATGCAAGCGAGTGAAATCCCGCTTACAGCGGTTAGCGCGCCGAGTGGCATGCTTTGGTAGTGGCTTGTTATGCCTCAGGGACTTTCTGATGCCCACGCAACCTTTGATCGCCTTGTGGCGCAGTCGTTTCGCCCTCAAAGAGGATTTGCACAAAGCTTTTTAGTGACGTCGTTGTCCATAGCTGTGCAGAACAAGGAAGATCATATTTGGAAAATCACATTGACCATTTACGAGAAATGCTCGGGTGTATGTGCACCAACCAGTTGCCAGCAAATGCATCTGATTGCGTTTTTGGTGCTGAATAAATCCTTTTTAGGGTGCTTCGTTGGAAAGCGCTGCCTACGGGCAGATCCCGCTAAGGTAAATTCCATAGTGGAATGGCCAGTTCCGTCTCATCCAAAAGTCTTGCGTAAACGGCTTGGTTTAGCCAATTGCTTACACAAGTAGAGTGCAAACTATGCTGACATGGCACGGCCATGAACCAACCTATTCAAGAAGTATGCAGTTTGGTGTTGGGACGTAGTCCAGGCTCAAGCTTTTCAAGCTGTTAAGGAGAGTCTCCTTCATGCTCCAATGCTGGCTTTTCCTGACCCGGTGCGACCTTACACTGTAGTCTGTGATGCATCTGATTTCGCCATTGGCAGTGCATTGTTGCAAACTGACATCGATGGACATGAGCGCTTCATTGCTTATGAATCTCGCCAGCTAAAAGCTGCTGAAAAGAACTACAAAGTTCATGACAAGGAGTTGCCTGCAATGAAGTACTCTATCGTCACTTTCAGATTACATCTATTGGCTCCAAGCCGTTTGTAATCTACACGGATCATGCGTCGTTGCGCACTTGGTTCCAAGCCGTTTGTAATCTACGCGGATAATGCGTCGTTGCACACTGTAATTCAGTCACCTCATTTCTCGCAACGTATGGCCCGTCAACTTTCATTCTTCGCTAATTAGAACTTCGAGGTGAAGTATAAACCAGGGACGCAAAATGCTTTGGCCGATGCGTCATCACGCATGCCGGATTATGAGCTTGCCCATGCTACGACTCTGTCGTCTTGCATCCCTAATTTAATTCGTGCAGCTTATGCCAAGATTGGTCAGTGCGTCGCATTGTAACGCGCACTCGGTTGTGATGAGTCTAGAGACTCGGACATTAAATTGTCGGCACGCTCGCGTGCAGAGCAACATCGATTTCCTTTCGATCGTGGCCTCTTGTGCCACATCACGGATGCGGCGGATACTCCGCACATTGTCGTACCTCATGACGAGGAACTGAAGTATTGCATCCTCTTGAGGCGCATGATTCAGATTTGAGCGGATATCTCGGTCGAGAGAAGATCTATGGCTCGATCAGCCAACACTTTTAATGGTCCAAATTATTTAACTGGATGAGCATATTTATGCGTACGTGTGAAACGTGTCAACGGGTCAAACCCTCCGCATATGCGGCTGCGCCTTTGTCGAGCTTGCCTATGCCCACGGGTTGTTGGGAATCCACCATTATGGACTTTGTGTTTGGTTAGACAACCGATTTGGACGGCAACACTGGTATAGTGGTTTTTGTTGACCGTTTGACTAAGATGACTCATTCAGCGTCTGTACCGGCTTCGATTGATGGTGAACGTACAGTACAGCTGTTTATCAATCGCGTGCTTCGTCAACACGATTTGCCTGTGGCAATTGTTTCAGATCGTGATCCTAGCTTTACGGGGAAATTTTGGAATTCCATTTTCGAGGTGCTTGGTACCAGATTGAGAAATTTTCACCGCGGATCATCCGCAGACCGATGGTCAAACTGAACGCGTTAGTCGTGTCATTGGTAACATTTTGCGCAGCGTTTGCGCAGATACGCCTTTGCGTTGAAGCACTGTGCTTCCGGTGGTCGAATTTGCCATGAATAATTCGGTTCATTCCTTGATTGGCTACACCCCGTTCTATATTAACGGACTTACCCATCCGCGCGTCCCATTGACGCTACCACTCTGTGGTTCCGGGCTAGGTGGGCGAGGGATTGCCGATCGGCTTACTGATGCCAGCCCTGCCACTGTTCAGAAACAGGTTAGTGAGTTTCTTTCAAAAAGGTTGAATGTCTTACGACATGTGCGAGATGCACTGGCTGATAGCCAAGATAAACAAAAAGAACAAGCCGATGCCAAAGGCAGAAATTGTATTAAAAGTTATGAGGTCGGAGACCAAGTCTTGCTAAACGCTAAAAAATGTACCTACAAATGTAGTGTCAGCTTTTTTTTCCCGAAGTTGCATCCGCGCTTTATTGGACCTTTTACGCTCGTGGCCAAGATGAGCCTTGCACATACGCTCAACTTGCCGCGCAGATTGCGTACACGTCCCTTCTTTAATGTCGGCCTGCTTCGGCCATACCGGGACCCGTTTTATGTTGACTTGAAGGCGCTTGCGCCGCGTACATTGGCGATGCCATAGGATGTCGCATCCGAAATAAAAGGTGAAGTTGAATCTCGACACGATTCTGACGTGACTCTATCATCTGGCGACGGGCGCAATCGCTTTCCAACGTCGCCAGACGAGAATGGGCTTTGCCCAGGGCGTTTCGAGTCTAGCTTAAAGTCTCACGGAGATCCTCCACTTTCTTTACCAACTCAGCATGGCTTTTAATCGATACTCCGACCGCCACCGGCATTGCTTGATAAGAAAGGGTACTTGCAGTTTCATGTGGAGCGGGTACTGCAGCGACGTCTTCGGCATGGTCACTGCCAATATCTGGTGGAGTGGCGTGGAAACTTTGACTTTGAAAACCGGTGGGAGCATGAGATTCCCCTTCGGCAAGACTGCCCATACGCCGTTGGCGTTTTTAAGCGCCACGTCCGAGCTCGTAGTGACGAGCGTCACGCTTCTCACTCTTCGTTGTGAGAGCGGGCAAGTTCGTGTCAAAAAATTGACGTGAACTCGCTGCTGCAGAGGCAGCCGAAGCATAGCGGGAGCGTGATACTCCCCGAAGATGGCCTGTGGCATTTGACTTAGTGAAGTCAAAGCAAAGCTTTCGCTCCAGAAGAACGTCTGCCGCAATGGCACTTTCACGTAGCGTTTGCATGCTACTGAGGCGTCGAACGCCATGCACCCAGCAGGTAAACATTTGGTCCTCCGCAATTTCGTCCCCATCTTCGGACAAAATGATGGGTCCACCCCTAATTTGCGGAACCGGTGTTCCTTGGGCCTGCTTTTGCAGCTTTACTCTGTATTGACTCAAAGTTATCACAGTAGGTTCCAAGTACCTATCTCGAAGAGCCTTGCGGAATTCGAATTCAGTGGGCCATTTTGCCTCGGGGCCGGTGGCCCATGCTGCCAAAGTATGGCGTGACGCTTGACGAATGAGTTCTTCCATGCCAGGTAGAGTGAACGTATGTTCACTGTGTCGTTGCAACGTTCTCTGAACTTCTGACTTGCGCTATGAGCTTGCCGCTTAATAGAGCGTGCGTTGTTGCTCCTCGTCAAGCGGGGTAGTGGTGATGGATTTATCTAAGGGGCCCAATGCTCCCAGCGCTGTAAGCGCAGTCGCGGCACAATGTTCGGGGAGCGGAATGGGTGCCGGATGGGAATTGTCCCCACGAATAGGTGTGCTAAGTTTGGATTGCTCCTCCCCCTCGACTTTGGTATCACTACCACCGTCAAAGTCCACGTCCTCGACATCAAGAATTTCGGCTAGAGCCTTATCTTCCAGGAGGTGCCCAGGTTGGTCCATGTGAGTGCGTTACTCTGTAACAAGTCTCAGTGGGAGAATGAGTCGAGTGACTTTGAGGTAACGTCAGTCTGGTGGGGAAGGGTGTAACGCGGTCATGCTAGCCTTTGGCTGAAATGATCAAAGACCTCCTCGAAGTGATATGGATGAATGTGTGTGACCTTAGATTTTATATCAGCAAGAGATTATCAATTGATCGATATTCCCAGGTTACGGTACTTACCGTGTACGTGCTTTGTACCGTCATCATTTGATGACTGAGCGATGTGGCAACCATCCATTTAGTTCGACTACTACTATTAGTATTTAGGATAATATAGGGTACAAACAGTAGGATTTTCCTCGATGTAAAATCTAAATTAAGTGCAGTTCTCATTTTGAGCAGAAGTCCCTAGACCCTCCCCTTCGCACCTTGCATTTGACAGTTCCTTAGAACTGTCGTGGGTTAGAGAGTCTTTAGACTCCAGCATCCCCCTTGCGCACATTGTGCGTGTAGTTCCTTAGAACTATGGTAGTTGAGCTGTTAGCTCGTATAGATCACTTGAGTTCCGTAGAACTGGGTGATTCATTAACTTGATGTATTAGTTCCGTAGAACTAATAGGCTGTAAGCCATAAGCCGTTAGCTTGTTAAAAATAAGTCTTCCTCTGACTTAAAGAGCTGTGTAGCTCCGCTGCACATGTCGTCTAAGTAGACGCACACTCATATAAACGGGGATCACAGCAGCCACGATGGTGATGTTGCACCGATGAAGGCGTACCTTCTTCACGCTTGCCATCTCGGTGGACATATTCTGTTCAACGGGAATTTCTACCGCCCTATCAGGATGTTGCTCTGATGGAGGCGTTCCTCGCACCACATTTGTCGTCTTAGCAGATGCACACTCTGTCCATGCATCTTTCCACAATTTTAAAGTGTGATTTTTGGATTAGGGGGGAGGGACTCGATCGAGCATAACCCGTTTAGACTCTTTTCATCACGTGTCAACGCTAACGTCGTCACGTTTGATGCCGATGTCGATCAGGTCGACATCGATGAGGATGACTATCTTAATTAAAGTGTTGAAGCTATGATTGAGTCAGATGATGATGATGATGCTGGCATTTTCAGCATCGCCAAAGACTGTTGCACCGAGGATGACGCCATCCTCGCCGAAAACAGGAAGAGGAAATGACTCTTTCTGCAGTTCTCACAAGGCGAACTGGACATAACAACGCCGAGCAGAAGAAGGATTTTTGCTGGCTCGTGAAGCAGTGGTCCGTTTCGTTCAGGATTCCATCGCTTACGCGGTGGACCAGCAGAAACGGAACGCTGACAAGAATGGAAGAGCAAACGTTTTTCATTTGACGAAGGCGACTTAGTCGTATTATCTTTACCGTCGATGTACCTAGGAGCGTAGGAACTAACGTGGGCAGCGGTAGTCTACTGACAAAGTACATCGGTCCCTTTCGTGTGCTGCGCCGACAAGGCAACGCATACACAGTCGAACTGCTACGTAGGATGCGCACGCACCTTACGTTCTACGTACGGTGTCTACTGCCGTACTGTCAGTACGAGCCCTCTTCTTTCGATGAAGATAGCCCCCACGTTAAACCTCCATCAGGATCTTGCGCCAGTGATCCAGAATATCAGTCTGGGTGCGTACCGAAGAGATCTCTCCGTTAAATCGAGAGGTCTCCTTGCATGCATTCCCCAGTTACGCAACGATGGAGCGAACGTCGCGCTCGTCCTGCAGCTGCGTGACCGCATACTCAGCAAGGTTCTTTGCACGCTCGGTCTCGCGATCTTTGCGGTGATCCCGCAAAGAATTGGTCAGGGTGTAACGCGCGTTCCTCTCGTGCTCCAAATCCTCGCGCAATTCAACAATTGCGAGATCCATCTCGTGAGGATCGAGATGGTCAGCAGTATAACTTGTACTAGGTTTTTCTTCTTCTACACATCCTTTGGTGGAATCACACGATGGTCAAAGGTTCCTTGTGGGCCGTATCGTGAACCACCGCGACGTGGCAGGTTAAAGGACGAGTTACCTCGTTCAGTGGCGGGGCATCGACCCTCTTGTACAAGCTGGGAGCTCCGCGCTTAGCTGATGATCCATGTGGCCGGTCTCTTCGAGCATTACGACGAGACGCACCCTTTGATGACGGAGGGCCATCGTCGTACAAACGATCGCCGCGTTCGCAAAGGAATAGCAAATTCTCAATATCATTGTGCATCTCAGACGAGATGAGCGCCCTTCAGTAGGGCTGATTAGGGAGGTACGCCCCCCTAGGGGTGCGGAATGAGGTTTCAACACAACTCAGACACTTCTCTCCCACGAGAGGCAAGCTAAACCTGCCTCTCGAGAAAATCCGTACAGCTTGTATTGAGCACCGGTATGCGATTTCTGTTTTATCTTGCTGCTGCGAGCAGCATAAAATTTGTTGATCCAGGCTTCACGACCAACTTTATTGATGTTGGAGAAAAAAATGATTCCACGGCTGCGCTGACAAGAGCTTGTCCCCTGTTTAATTAGAGTGTAACCATTGATGTCTGAAGAAGACATCACTGTAATGCTCTTGCTCGAAACGATAAATTCTCGCTTTAATCCCAAGACCATGGATTCTTGAAAAATTAAAGAGTTGGAGGAGGCGATTCTTATTGGTATAAACATGTCAGTCTTTGAGATTACTCAGGGGAGGCAAACGTGGCCTGGTCTCAGGAGCAAATCGTAACTCATCACGATCTTTCTCCTCTCGCATGGTGGCTTTGTGGACACTACGATCGCCGCAATTACTAGAATTGAAACGGCTACGATGACTCCGCGAGGATTTATTGACATCAACACGACGATTTGCATTAAAGTGCTTATTGCTCGCACCAAACGAATGCGATCTGCTCGATCTCGGTGTCGAGTCCATGGAATTTTTGGATAAGGCGAACATCTCACGACGTAGCTCGGGATCGATACTGCCACCTCGTCGGGCAGTCGTCATTTCTGCACCCACAGCCTCTGTGACGGGGCTAAAAAAACCCGTACTTAGCTTACACGATCGATGCTTAGGAGGCCTTGAACCCAAGTTCTAGGAATCAAGTATGTAATACTCGGTTTATTCTGTTTGTCTATCATAATTCTAAGTGCAAATGATTCTCATGGATTCACGAGAACCGCTCAATCTATGTGTCGATATGTTACTGGCTGATAATGGGTCAAGCCCATTAAACCAGCTACAAATATGCGACTTGCGACATTCCCCACTTTGGATGTAGCCACCCTACTAAAGTAACATGTAAACTTAATCGAGACTACTTAAGACCGGAATGCCTCATTTCATCACCCCCTTCTCAAGACAGCACTAACGCACCCTGAGTGCTCAACTGCAAGACCCCCAACGGCCGCTCAACCCAAACGATGACCGAAGACGCAAACGCTAACACCACAGAGATCCCGCGCGTCATCAGAGTGATTTTAAACGACCACGTGGTGGATCAGTACTGATACCTTGGGCGCTGTACGAATTGTCCGAAGCGCAAGATCCGGACTTTCTCGAAACTATGCAGGATGACTTCCGGCGCATTTGCAGATTACGCAAGAAGAGAGTTAAAGTCATCTTGCACAACTCGATCCAGCGTTCTTGGTACACATTCATCCGGCGGTGGAACCGGATGAATGTAGACAAAAGGAATTTTCAGAAGTGGCTTGCCAATGCGAAGATATCTACGCTGATCACTAAATTGGTGTGCTTTACGAGAAGGTACGTAAGAACGCGTGGAACGTAGACCAACTCTGCTACGTTCACGGGAACGAATCTTTTACTCCTGTGACTCGATGCCTCGTTTAACCCGCGAGACTTGGAAACGACACGTTGCTGATTATCCACTCAGCGAATGTGAACAGCTCTGGATCCGACGGTATGAGCGCAGCTTGATAAAGATAGAACGCGGTTAATCGTGGTGCGTCAAGCTGATGACAACGCTTGCGTTCTCAAAGATGTGGTGCCACACGCTCGCCACGACGTTCTTGTCGTCGCTCTTTATCTCGTCATCATGTTGACGTTTCACCACGACATTTTGTCGTAGCTCTTTGTCTCGTAGTCGTGGTGACGCTTCACCACAACATTGTCGTCGTTCAACTTGTTCTCACCGCGAGAACAATTACGTCGTCGGCCAAATCTGGTTTGAGAGCATGAACTGACTCGTACGCCCGAACGCCATCTGAATCGTCTTGAAGAAGCGAGGATCTCGGTTCCCACGTATCCTGCTCGGGTGCAAGCCCGATCCAACATACAAGTTCCTTACGCGCTGTCGGAACAGCGCGCGCATAAAGTCGAGATGATGTCATTTTGCTACGAGGATCCTCGTGGCCCAGTAAACGCTCCAAGATACATCGTTTCTGACGTTCCGCATCCACAAGCGGCGGCAGGCCTTCGCTCTGGTAGCGCTGGCGTCCTGGTTGCCCAGGACGATGTAAACGCGACAGTGAATAGGGCTGTCGATGCCCAACTGTAAGCTGAAATTGCCCTTGATCGTGCTGCGCGGGCTACGGTAACAGCGAGTGAGGTTCGACAGTCGAAGCGCGAGCTGCTTGTACGGAGGCGGAACCTGTAATGCCAAGTTCATCGACACGCGCAGACTGAAACGCAGCCGCGTCCGATGTCGCTGGCGCGTCGAGCAAGGCGAGAGGCAAGGTCGACCTATGATCCTTTGCCTCCGGGTTTGGAGCCAGCCCGTAACGCGTAGCATGACCAGTCGAACGTCGCGTTATATGCTTGCGCGTAGCATGACCAGTCGAAGGTCGCGTTTAATGCTTGCGAAGGTTTCGCGAGCGACAGCTAAGTCATGGACAGCGGCGCGTCAGCACACATGTGCAAGGATCGAGATGCGTTCGAAGAGTACGAAGAAGTGCATCATGCGCGAAGCATTTTAAGCGCAAAGAGCGACGTGAAGCTGAATGTCATTGGACATGGGACAGTGAAGTTGCGCGTCTGGACAGGGCATGCGTGGATCGACGCTCGCCTTGAGAACACACTTCAAAGTTCAAGATTTGTCCAAGAACCTGTTTTCGCTCAAGGCTGCGGCAGCGCGCGGCATGACAGTGATGATTACGCGCAATGAGTGCATGGTGAAGCGTGGCGGCAAACCCGTCGCCACAGGAAGGAAGCACGGGTTCCTCTTGTATCTCAACGCTGACTATGGTACGGAGTGACACATGGCTGAAGACGATCAAGCTATGGCACAGAAGACTGGGTCACGTTTCGTATGGTACGCTGAATGCCACGGTCAAGGACGGAAGGATCAAGGGCGCAACGGTGAAGACGAACTTTGCGTGTGACGTATGCGCAACGTGTAAGCAAGTGCGCAAGTCATTCAAGACAAGTGAAGAAGACGTTGAAACCACGGGGAGTTTGCGTTCCGACGTGGTGGTGTGCTCCGACGTTCTCGGACCTATCACGCCAGCGACTAAGTCCGGTTTCAGTTACGCCGTAACCTTCATCATGATGAAGAGCAGGTATGTGACGGTCTATCCGTTGCGAAAAAAGAGCGACGTTGCGAGTGCGTTCAAACGATTTTACCAAGATATCAAGACATCATTTGGAACAAAGATAAAGGTATTGCGAAGTGACAACGGCGGCGAATACCAGAACGAAACGATGAACAACTTTTGCAAGGCGAAGTTCTTTAAGCAAGAGTTCACGGTTCCGTACAACACAGAGAAGAACGGGATGGCGGAGCGGATGAACCGCACGCTGGTCGAGATGACGCGCTGCATGCTCAAGAAAAGCGGTCTCGACAAGTCGTACTGGTGCGAGGCACTAATGACAGCGGCAAACATCAGAAACATTCTGCCGAGCACGTCGAACAAGAACTTAAGCCCACACGAGATGGTGTTCAAGAAGGTTCCGCGCATCGATCACATGCGCGTGTTTGGTGCGCAATGCTATGCGCTTGTGGCGAAGGAAAAGAGGAAAAGCTGGACGACTTAGGCGTGCGATGTTTTTTTCTCGGCTATGCGAAGGACCAAAAGGCGTATCGTCTTCTTAACGCGGACGATGGCTCAATCGTGATTTCTAGAAGCGTCACGTTGACTGAGCATTCTGTCTCAAAAGCATCGAAAAGCAGAGACACGCGGGCTTTCGATGTCATTAAAGAAGAGGAAAGTGTGGAGGCGTCGCTACCCGATGATGAAGACATACCAGCGCCGGTGACCGAAGAAGATCGCGCACCCCACCACTTCGAGCGCAGAACAGCTCTCATCACAGACCAAGTGATCGACCAAGAGACACCATTCCTACGCGCGCATCCAGCAAACCCGGAAGATATGGAGAAGAAGAGTGGATGGTGCGACCGGTTCGGAAGAAGCGCGGCGTGGTTCGCTACGAACAAGAATTTCCAAGTCATCGTCGCGGTCACTTCAATTTGGACGACTACGAAGGTGAATTCGACTCTTTCTACTGTTTCTCGGCTAAAAAAGATGGGGAACAAGCGTCCAGCTATCAAGAAGTGATGAAGAGCAGCTACAAGGATCAGTGGCTGCAGGCAATGAAGAGTGAGATGAAGTCGCTTGAAGAACACAGCACATGGGAAGCTAGTGGAGATGCCACCGGGCAAGAAGGCTGTAGGCTGCAAGTGGGTGTTGAAGATTAAACGCGATCCAAGTGGGAATATCATCAAGTTCAAGGCACGCTTAGTTGCGAAAGGGTTCACGCAGCGTCCTGGCATCGACTACAACGAGACCTTTGCACCAGTGGTGCGCAAGGAATCTATCAACACAGTGTTGGCGAGAGCTGCAGCTGGAGACCTGGAAGCAGATAACGTTGATGTCGACACAGCGTTTCTCTACGGCGAAGTGGAAGAGGAGATCTACATGGACCAACCTGACGGTTTTGAAGATGAAGGAAGCCCGAAAAAGAAGTGTTTGCTGCAGAAGGCGCTATACGGGACGTAGCAAGCGGCGCGGCAGTGGAACAACAAGTTGAGTCATCACTTGGACGATCAAGGGTTCAAGAGCAGTGCAGCGGACCCGTGTGTGTTCGTTCGAGTGACAAGAGAGGAGTACAGCATATTCGTGATCTACGTGGAAGACTTGATGATTTTCTGCACGACGGAGGAGCACATCGCAAGTATCAAGAGCTCATCGATGGAAGATTTCTTGGAAGAAGATTTCAGCATCAAAGATCTTGGAGATCTCAAGTACTGCCTTGGGATCGATATTCATCGCAAGCGCTAAGATGGAACGATCAAGATGAACCAGAAGGCGTACATCAAGCGACTTTCGGAGAAGTTCGGCGTTGAAAACTGCAAGGACGTGCACACGCCGGCGGACAGTAACTCGAAGCTGATCAAGATGGGTCAAGAGGAAGCGTTTTTACCAAAGTACCCATATCGTGAGCATTGGGCGTTTTAATGTACATTGCCACATGTACACGACCGGACAATGCGCATGCGGTTGGCGAAGTTGCGAAGTTTTGTGAGCGCTACGACCAGTCGCATTGGACAGCAGCAAAGCGGATTCTTAAGTATCTCAAGACGACTCAAGACTTAAGCATCGTGTTCAGCGGCATCAACAAGGGAGAGCTGATCGGATTCGCGGATGCAAACTGGGCTGGCGACCTCGAAACGCGGCGTTCGACAACAGGATACGTTTTCTTCCTGAACGGAAGCGTAATATCGTGGAATTCGAAGCGTCAACCAACGGTCGCGACCTCAAGTACGGAAGCAGAGTACATGAGTCTGTACAGCGCGACGCAGGTAGCAATTTGGCTTCGAGTTTGCTCAAGGACCTAAACTACTGTGACAAGAACGCGACGACGATTTTTCAAGATAATCAAGGTTGCATCGCGCTGGCCAAGAATCCTGTGTACCACTCGCGCACGAAGCACATCGACATCAAGCATCACTTTTTGCGTGAAAAGGTTGCAAGTGCAGTGATCGCGCTAGAGTTCAAGCCGACAGAAGAAATGGTCGCGGATGGATTCACCAAGGCACTTCCAAGAGACAAGCACAGCAAGTTCATCACGGGTCTGTGCATGGCGGTGTAGGGCGCACACGTCGCACGCACATCAAGGGAGAGTGTTAGCGAGTGATGATGCGGCGACTTGTGCAGGATGTATATTGCATATTTGCATTGGTTGTATTGTTGTTTGGCAGGTTTATATTGTGGGATAATAGCGAAACGACAAGTCATCGGATTGGCTCAGTCGATTGGGAAGGGGGATTCCACGCGGGTGAGTGCGGGTTTGATCCCCGCCGTGTACAAGTTAATAGTGACTGACACTCACGACCTGTTGTTTGGGGTTCACCAGAACTGTGACCCGCCCGCAGTTACGTCCCCCACCCATGCAATCGTTTTCATTTTGCATACGACACAGCAGAGTTTTTAAGAAATGTATTTACGAGACGTAATTACCCAGTGATAGGTAAAAAAGAAAGCGGTGGAGACAGGGCACGAAATAGGTGGCTGAGAGCCACCGGCTACTACTAGCCATTCGTTTTCGAAGCTAGGAACAATTTGAATACAACTCACTTTTCAGTTTTCATCCCCGGCCGTAAGCCATCTTCTTCTCAGCTTCAGCTCCACAACCTAGTTAGTTCTAACGGACGAGAGCGCTCAGTAGATGATGCTTGTGGCTGAAATAGTAGAATCAAAAGTGAGGTATAAATTGTGAGTTATATCTTATCTTCTGTGCTGTCATATCGCCGCTTGCTGTCCATACCTTTACGTCTCTTCCCCGCTGATTACACATTTAATTAACCAATCATTGGCCATTGTCGCGTTCCCTTTCTCTCTGATGTGTGCCACAAAGTCTTAGATTTTGTACTGTTGAATTGACTTAGGTTTCTGATGATGAGGCGGACTTGCGGTCGGGATGGAAAACCGAAAAGTGAGTTGTATTTAGTTGGATTCGCAAATCGAAACTAATGGCTATCAGAAACCGATGACTCTCAGCCACCGATTTCACCGTCCTTTCTCTCCTACGTGACACTTCCTATCTTGGGTAATCACGACTTGCAACATACCTGCGGTAAACACTCCACAGAAGCCTATGCCCAATGATAGGTTCTTGCGTGGTGTGGGGGACATCACCTCGGGGAGGTCAAGGTTCTGGTGAACCCCAAACACCTGATTGCGGGGGTCATTTGCAATTGACTTCTCCACGGCGGAAATCGAACCCGCACTCAGATGCTTGGAATCCCTTTCCAAACATCTGACCAATTCGTACCCTTACCTTGTCGTGCTAGTACATATCTATGTGTATCAATGCAAGCCTATATACGCAATGTACATTGTCCACACATAGCTGCACCATCAATCTCCAACATGACCATCACCAGGAGAGTACAAATGTGCTGCGCTTGAGCTGGGTAACGTTTTGCTTCATCCCGGCCGCCGTCACGGGTGGCACTAGTAAAGGGTGAATACATGGAACTGGGGACCGCTGGTCTGAGGTTGAACACTGTGTTGCTTGACTCTAAGGGTCTGTTTTCAAAGCCAGGGTCATCATATTCCAAGCCAGCTATTCTTAATGAGATTATTGACGCCTAAGAGCTGTGACCACTCTTCAGACAATCGTCTCGTGATAGTGGGACAGGCTCATTTTTCTGAGCGATAATGTCAACTAGGTAGTTCAACGATGTCACAAAGTGAGCGCAGCATCCCTTTTGTAGTTGCAGCCGCAATTGAAAGCTTTCGACGAGCCCTTACAAGACAGTGGAATAACGTTCGGGATTACACTTTGTCACGATCGGTCGGATCAGTTTATGTTGGAATCTGTTATAGCTGAAAGACCATATGAAGAGCGGAGTCGTAGCACCCCAATGGATATAAGCGAGTCGAGCATAAGTATAAGTGGCACTTGCCAGAGGATTGACGATACGACTTCTGCATACGCGCACAGGACGCCGAAGTCGTCCAATAGAATTCAGCACTTGTCGTACTTACTGCCTCGCTTGGTGCTGGCCAGTGTCTCACATGCTGCCGTTGCGTCCTTGTTGACCAGCAGGTAACGTCCAGTGGTCATGGCCTACGTGTCAGCAGTGGGATTAAAGCCCACGAATCCGAACACAGTAGAACTTGAGTCTACCCCCTTAGACCACTCGGGCACTGACGACGACATGAAAGGACCAACACAAACAAACATACACACAACAACACAGCAATCACGACACATCACGCGACACACAGTACCCGACCGCACAGCACCCGACCACACCAATTTCGAATGCGAAGGTTGACGTGAGCGCTCAGTAGATGATGCTTGTGGCTGAAATAGTAGAATCAAAAGTGAGTTATAAATTGTGAGTTATCTCTTATCTTCTGTGCTGTCATATCGCCGCGTGCTGTCCATACCTTTACGTCTCTTCCCCGCTGATAACACATTTAATTAACCAATCATTGGCCATTGTCGCGTTCCCTTTCTCTCTGATGTGTGCCACAAAGTCTTAGATTTTGTACTGTTGAATTGACTTAGGTTTCTGATGATGAGGCGGACTTGCGGTCGGGATGGAAAACAGAAAAGTGAGTTGTACTTGGTCGGATTCGTAAATCGAAACCAATGGCTATCAGAAACCGATGACTCTCAGCCACCGATTTCACCGTCCTTTCTCTCCTATGTGACATTTCTATCTTGGGCAATCACGACTTGCAACATACATGAGGTAAACACTCCACAGAAGCCTATGCCCAATGATAGGTTCTTGCGTGGTGTGGGGGACATCACCTCGGGGAGGTCAAGGTTCTGGTGAACCCCAAACACCTGATTGCGGGGGTCATTTGCAATTGACTTCTCCACGGCGGAAATCGAACCCGCACTCAGATGCTTGGAATCCCTTTCCAAACATCTGACCAATTCGTACCCGTACCCTGTCGTGCTAGCACATATCTATGTGTATCAATGCAAGCCTATATACGCAATGTACATTGTCCACACATAGCTGCACCATCAATCTCCAATATGACCATCACCAGGAGAGTACAAATGTGCTGCGCTTGAGCTGGGTAACGTTTTGTTTCATCCCGGCCGCCGTCACGGGTGGCACTAGTAAAGGGTGAATACATGGAACTGGGGACCGCTGGTCTGAGGTTGAACACTGTGTTGCTTGACTCTAAGGGTCTGTTTTCAAAGCCAGGGTCATCATATTCCAAGCCAACTAATCTTAATGAGATTATTGACGCCTAAGAGCTGTGACCACTCTTCATACAATCGTCTCGTGATAATGGGACAGGCTCATTTTTCTGAGCGATAATTTCAACCAGGTAGTTCAACGGTGTCACAAAGTGAGCGCAGCATCCCTTTTGGAGTTGCAGCCGCAATTGAAAGCTTTCGACGAGCCCTTACAAGACAGTGGAATAACGTTCGGGATTACACTTTGTCACGATCGGTCGGATCAGTTTATGTTGGAATCTGTTATAGCTGAAAGACCATATGAAGAGCGGAGTCGTAGCACCCCAATGGATGTGATCGAGTCGAGCATAAGCATCAGTGGCACTTGACAGAGGATTGACGTTACGACTTCTGCATACGCGCACAGGACGCCGAAGTCGTCCAATAGAATTCAGCACTTGTCGTACTTACTGCCTCGCTTGGTGCTGGCCAGTGTCTCACATGCTGCCATTTCGTTCTTGCTGAGCAGCAGGTAACGTCCAGTGGTCATGGCCTACGTGTCAGCAGTGGGATTAGAACCCACAAGAGCGAACACAGTAGAACTTGAGTCTACCCCCTTAGACCACTCGGGCACACTGACGACGACATGAAAGGACCAACACAAACAAACATACACACAACAACACATCAATCACGGCACATCACGCGACACACAGTACCCGACCGCACAGCACCCGACCACACCAATTTCGAATGCGAAGGTTGACGTGAGCGCTCAGTAGATGATGCTTGTGGCTGAAATAGTAGAATCAAAAGTGAGTTATAAATTGTGAGTTATATCTTATCTTCTGTGCTGTCATATCGCCGCTTGCTGTCCATACCTTTACGTCTCTTCCCCGCTGATTACACATTTAATTAACCAATCATTGGCCATTGTCGCATTCCCTTTCTCTCTGATGTGTGCCACAAAGTCTTAGATTTTGTACTGTTGAATTGACTCATGTTTCTGATGATGAGGCGGACTTGCGGTCGGGATGGAAAACCGAAAAGTGAGTTGTATTAATTGGATTCGTAAATCGAAACTAATGGCTATCAGAAACCGATGACTCTCAGCCACCGATTTCACCGTCCTTTCTCTCCTATGTGACATTTCCTATCTTGGGCAATCACGACTTGCAACATACATGAGGTAAACACTCCACAGAAGCCTATGCCCAATGATAGGTTCTTGCGTGGTGTGGGGGACATCACCTCGGGGAGGTCAAGGCTCTGGTGAACCCCAAACACCTGATTGCGGGGGTCATTTGCAATTGACTTCTCCACGGCGGAAATCGAACCCGCACTCTGATGCTTGGAATCCCTTTCCAAACATCTGACCAATTCGTACCCTTACCCTGTCGTGCTAGCACACATATATGTGCATCAATGCAAGCCTATACACGCAACGTACATTGTCCACACATAGCTGCACCATCAATCTCCAACATGACCATCACCAGGAGAGTACAAATGTGCTGCGCTTGAGCTGGGTAACGTTTTGTTTCATCCCGGCCGCCGTCACGGGTGGCACTAGTAAAGGGTGAATACATGGAACTGGGGACCGCTGGTCTGAGGTTGAACACTGTGTTGCTTGACTCTAAGGGTCTGTTGTCACAGCCAGGGTCATCATATTCCAAGCCAACTAATCTTAATGAGATTATTGACGCCTAAGAGCTGTGACCACTCTTCATACAATCGTCTCGTGATAATGGGACAGGCTCATTTTTCTGAGCGATAATGTCAACTAGGTAGTTCAACGGTGTCACAAAGTGAGCGCAGCATCCCTTTTGGAGTTGCAGCCGCAATTGAAAGCTTTCGACGAGCCCTTACAAGACAGTGGAATAACGTTCGGGATTACACTTTGTCACGATCGGTCGGATCGGTTTATGTTTGAATCT